TCACCACACTGCTTGGTGTCATCAGCAAACTTGCTGAGGGGGCATCAGTCCCACTGTCCATGTTGCTGACAAAGATGCTAAACAGCACCAGTCCCCTCAAGGGTGGAACACCACTCCTGGTCACGACTGCACTTTCTCAATGCATAATTGAGCTATAGCTGCCATTGTACAAATTAATGCCATAGATCACAGGATATTTCAGCTTGAAAGGAAACCTGAGGTCTGCACAGAATGGAGTGAGGTGAGCTACATCTAACCAGCTTCATCTAGGCTGCCACTGCACAACCTTGCTGAGCAACCTCTCCTGGTTGTCCTGAGGGTGAGCAAGTTTTCCTGGCAGTGCCTGTATTAAACATGATGGCTTGAATACAACCTACTACATCAAAGTTCCTGCTTACCTGGAGCTGTGAAAGAAAAAAGAGCTATGGGGAAAAAAACAAAACCGAGATACTACCAAGAGTACAATAAGGAGGGGCTTGTGGTTTTGTTTGTTTGGGGTTTTTTTGTTTTGATTTGATTTTTTGTTGGTTGGTTTTCTGCTTTTTACCTCCCTTTCCTCCTCTTGTTACTGGTGACCGTGGACAAAGACAGGACATTCAGGGCAGACAGCCCACTGGTCTGACTCATTTCTGACACACATGATTATTAGACACTGCTGGGGGTGGAACCTGTTAGGCAAAAAAAAATAAAATAAAAAAATAAAGGCAACCGAAACCTTTTCTCACCACGGTGAGAATCAGAAAAATTCTGGGATGGGGATGTCAATAGAAGCTACGTCACCGATTTTGCTGCTACTGGAATTTCCCCTTTAAAGGCCTTAGAGACAAGTTTTTACACCCTCCTCCCCCATGGGCTATTATTAAGTAAATAAAGTTTATATGGACAAATATGATAGGGCATGAACAGCAAGCAACACACTGGACATAAGTTAGACCAAGTATTAGTATGTATTTATGCACAATAATAAAAACAGCTTTACAAGTTGAATTTGAAATTTAAACAGAGGAAGTTTAACAGCTTTTGTATATTATATTAAATAACCAAAACACCTTTTTCCAAAATTGGTAAAGAATAAATAATATAATTTACAATATGGTACAAAAAATAATTGGTAAGGACAGGCATTCTGCTTTATACATACACTATATAGGTATATTTATAATCTATAAAACAAATTCACATCTCAAACAAGCCAGAAACCTTAGATGATATGGCTTAACTATTATTAAAAGAAACAGCATTAAATTTTGCTGCCAGAACCATAAGCTCTAAAGCAGTTATCATGTTTCAATAATTAATGATAACTTATTGCCGTAGTGCTTGCCAAGGTTTCTTAGTTAACATTTACAAATTGCTGTGAAATTAAAGAGATTCAAAGGTTCGAAAAGGTTAAAAAAAAGTGCAGTACTTTCCTTATAAATGCATCCGAAGTCTGAGTGTAAAAAACTAAATGCAACTTAATTTCCACTCTGGGATCTGCACAGTCAGTAAGTGAGACGTCTTGAGAGATTAGATCTGATTCAAGCCATTTAATTCAATTCAGAAATATAAAGAGGGGTGTCAAGAAAAGGCTAAATAATGCCATAGTAAAAACAGTTAGTATTCCTATACTTAGTAGATTTAGTGATAAAGAATAGCATTAATTGTGTGGGTGATCAGGATGCAACACCCAGCAGAAAGCCCAAGTAGTGCACATGTGGGTGGATGTTATACTCAAGATGCTTTTCACCCAGACTGTGATGACAACAAATATTGACTTTTCTGCCACTCACCTTGCTGAACTACTCGACCTTATTATATATAGTCACTGAACCAACAGGTGAAAGCCTAGAGCAACTAATACCAGAACTGGATGCTGTTAGTGTCCATTTGTCCTCTTCAACCACCTCACAGTGTTCCAAGAAGCTACTGAGCCAACAAAGTCACATTTCCCTCAACAACATCTCTGCCTGCATTTCAGTGTCACCTGCTGGAATGTTTGCTTAGGACAGGCTGCCCTGGGAACACACATGGATTTAGTTACTTCTGTTGGGAAGCTGAAATATTGAAAATTGTACAAGTTTTGTGTTTTACAAAATCATAAATATATGTACACACAGAGATACGTATATGTGTGTATATGAGTGTGTGCCCGTTATGCACACCCCAGACCTCTCCTACACCCCTTGCCCCCAGCTTCTCCCTCAGCAGTCTTAGGCACAAACTGCTGATGATCAGTATTGTAAAGTACACCCACTACAATCTAGAACTGGTGGAATCAGAGGTGTGTTTAAGTGACCTTTCACATAATAATGAATTCTGCATCAATTCAAAATGACTACAATGATTGATTTTCAAGTTTTTCCCTGATAAGATTTACTTGTCCTGAAAGGGTTTTATTATTAAACTGCAGTTTGCAAACCATTACACTTCTGAAACAAAATTCCATTTCATTCTAACAGCTTCTAAGAGGCTGATGCCAAACACATTTCTAACCACACAATTCTCAGTGCTGAACTGACCTGTCATTTCCACTTTGTTATTGCTTGGTGGTCCAAGTCTACTTGCAAAGGTTCAGGATATGAAAGCTTTCTGACCTCATGGCATCATTAAAAGCAGCCACTAACACTGATTTCATTCTACAATCCTGTCATTCCCCCAGGGCAGCTGCAGGGGCTGAGAAAGGGCAGCTTCTCAGCTCCCCGTGCCAGATGGTGGAAAGTCCTGACAGACAATGAGGGGGTTCTCTGCCATCCAGGTGCAGCAACACGCACTTACTCTAGGCAACACAAGGATCAAAACCAGTGTCACATCCACTCCATTACTAGCATTGATAAAGAAGCTGAAGTGTTTGTCAAGGTACCTAAATACACTGGAGGCCTTCAGGCTGGTCTTTCAATATTCAGAAGCTTAAGAACGGGAGTTCAGAGTTGTTTCAGTTTTGGTGTACAGTCCTTACAGCATATAGGATAATCAGCATTACTAATGAAAGAAGCCAAAACCAAGAAACAGTCTGGGAAAGACTGAGCTAAATACAACAACTAAAAAAGCTTTAGGAGTGACTCTTAAAGAGTACTGGGTAACCTTCTCCATATCAAGTGTGGATGCTCAGAATGATAGAATTCTCAGCATTAATTCATTTGACAGCCTTCAACTTTTAATATTCTAGCTTTACAAGACTTCCTGATACTTGCATCAGAATTCTCAAATCAGGCTCTGAAAGAATAATGGAAGAGAAATAATGACAGAATTACTTCATATCCCATATGACGTGTAGTCAGCATCAGAAGTTAGCCCACAGGTATGAAATTTGAAATTCTCAGTTCTTCTGGTCATGATCATTTTCTTGCCAGAGGTTTGTCTCTTTGCAGGGTACGTCCAAGTGTTTTTACACATCTGTATGGTTCCTCTTTTGAAGAGAACATAGCAACCCAGTATGTGGGGCCTTGGAACGTCATCCAGATGTCACTAGTTTTGGAGTGAAACCATGAAGGCTGCTCTTGGACCACATAGAAGGTGCATTTTAATGACTGAAAGCATAAAGGCAAACTATATAGGAGTTTAAAAAAAAATCTAAACAAAGCAGGGTAAAGTGACTGGGAAAACTGCAAATCCAATCATTGCATCATGAGCAAGGATCCATGAAGAAATTCCCAGACAAATGCCTTGTAGAAGTAGCTAAAGGCAGCCAGAACTACATCCACCAAGTATAGTGCAAGTTTGGAAAATGAACCCCTGATAATAGCCTAAGAAATGGAGAAGTTCTGTTTGTTTACTAGTAATATAAAGTTGAGGTTTATATAGGACTAGCCCCTTGGGTAAGTTCAGAGCTACTTAAAACAGTCAAGGGAGATTCTCTTACTGGAGAAGCAGAAAAGAGCTTTAAAAATGGCACAATAAAGGTATTCTATCTCATGACTGGCAGGAAAGAAAGCAGGGAAAGTCTCCTGAGTTATTAAGGTAGGACTGACAGACAAGCAAGTGTAGAAAAAGTAACTTTATATTCCTTTGAACAAGCTGATACCAGGATCTGGGTCTTTCAAATATTAAAACACTCACTTTCAATGCATAGGGATTCAGTAGAGGGAGTCCCAGATCCACAAGTGTCTGGGAGTGACTGTCATGAAATATGATGCCCTGAGGTACTACAGAGCACCTGGAATTCACAGAACAAGAAGGAAATTAGGAAGGACTAAGGGATTAAGCTAAGACTTGACACCTCTCCTCTTTGTGACACAAAACAGATCTCAACAACTTTAGCACTAACATATTATTTGTTTCTATGCATTACAATATTCTTTCCTATTTCCTCTCCCAGGCAGACCCTCAGTTTTTGTAAAGGAAGATGGCAATACACACAGGTTTCCAGATAAGCCAAGCCTAATTATGACAAAGCTTTCCTAGTGATTCCAGTAAGCTCTTTTGCAATGTTCCCTGAATTAAAAAGCAACCATTCTTCAGGAAATGCAGGAAAGCACTCTCCCACTCATGGGATGGACTGTGCAATGTGATGAAGAATCTCAAGGTGGAGAATGTGAGTGCAGTCAAGACAATGAAAATTTTCATATGGGGTTTAAAAATAGAGGGAACTCCCCAAGGATCCATGCAGTCTGGGAGTAGGGTGAATCAGAGCTCCCCTATGAAACAAGAAAGCAGGTACACGAACCTGTTAGAATGGTCAAACAAAACAACACAGCCAAAGAAACAGAGTGGTATATAAAAGTGAACTTATCATGAAGTCATAGGGCCCTTGAAACGAGTGCAAGAAACTTCAGTTTCAGACTGACTGATATGTCAACTAGGACATGCCAAGATGCACAATGGTTCCCATATCCATTCTCACCCTTCCTCCTCTACAACATCCATGTGGATCCCAAATCATGGCATTTTGATCACTACACAAAATCTAATTCACATGGGAGAGCTTCTGGCAATACCCTTCTCTGCTTGAGCTTCTTGCTGAGGCCATTCCAAAGTAGAAGTCCAGGACTGTCCCACAAACCTGACATCTTGTATCACTGATGCAAGGGTCACACCGTTTCCTGTAATACTATTTCACGTTTTGTTGTTCCCAGTGTATTGCACATTCCAGGACTTGCAGGTACTTCTTCAGACCTTTGAAGACAATGCTCCTCTTTTAGAAACAATGGCACAAGACAGGGACAACTGATCCTCAGCTGCTTTTGTGTGACCTGCCCTTGCCATCATCCAGCACTGCAAGCTCCAAATTCAACCAAACAGTCACCACCAGCATGCTGGACTCACTGTGAGAGGTCCCCAATGGGGGGGCCACCACCTCCTCCATCAAACAGGATCTCCCTGCGGGTTGGCTCAGGTATTGATAGCTCCTGGGCAAGGTCATTAAAACGAGATATGTAATCTATGCTGTTCTCATTCATCATGCAAGCCAGCTGTGAATCCACCACCTAGAACAGACATGAGAGAAAAGAAGATCTACGTGTCAGTGGAAATTTCACAGAATTGTTTAGCTTGGAAGGAGCATCTTGAAGTCATTTTGTCTAACCATCCTGCTCAAGTAGGGTCAGCTAGAACAGGCTGCCCTGGACCTTGTCTAGTCAGGTGCAGAATAACCTCCACAAATGGAGATTCCACACCTCCCTGGGCAACCTGCTCCTGCGTTTGACCACCCTCACAGCAAAAAAAGTTTTCTTGTGTTCATGTGGAATGTAATTTGTTTCCATTTGTGCCCACTGCCTCTTGTCCTGAGAAGAGTCTGGCTCCCTTGTTTTCATTCCCAGCCTCTCATATTAAATATATACCTTATCTCAGTTAAGAGAATAGCTCTTCTCCATGGCTAAACAGAAGCCTTTCAAAACAAAACCCATAGTCTCAATCCTACCTATCCTTAATTCAGTATCCAGGCATGCCAGTGGGTGCTGTGTACAACAACTTCATGGGTATCACCTCTAACCTAATAACTGCATGTGCAAATAAAAGTTGATTCTGCAGGACACTTAATGAAAGGTCTTTCAAAATTCTCCCATCATTAAAGCCATTTTTAAACAATATTTGCTTCCTCTGAAGACTCCTACACAAACCCATCACAGCTGCTCTGGTGTGCCTAAAATGGTGGCCTACAAACTGCCTTCAGAAGAAAATGGGGCAAGATCAAGGGACACAATGTCACTTCACATCCACACAAATAAATTATTATATATTCCTTTAATTAACACACACCTTGACAGCTGTGTTTATTTATTACCACGAAGTAAGCAGAATCTTTATATTGATGCCAGGAAGTGGAGTCTGAAGCTGCTCAGGGCACATGAAAACAGCAGGAGCTTACTACAGCTTCTGTTTACAAGGTCTGTATGGAACATCCTTATCCAAATCCAAAGGGCAAAGAGAAACATTTTCCTTCCACCAGGGCAAGCCTCCCAAAGCTACAATGTACACGATGTCACACTGAGTCAACAACTGTAAAGTGTAGGATAACTACATATAATGAAGATTGGAAGGGACCTGAAGAGGTCTCTAGTTCAACCTCCTGCTCAAAACAGGGTCACTTGGGTCACTCAAGTCTTTATCAATGTTTGCCTTGAAAAGCTCTCAAGACAGACTCTGCACAACAGCTCCGTGTGACCTGCTCCCCTGCCTGACTGGCCTCAGGGTGGAAAAGTTTTTCCTCATATGTAGTTGGAACCCTTCACAAATCAGCTTTTTCCTCTTCCTCCCACCATGCACCGCCACTCTGTGAAGGGCCTGGCTACCAAGATGTCCACGTACTTGTCAGCAGAGCTCTTCCCCAAGCAGCCAGTCACCAGCCTATGTTGCTGTCCTTCCCCAGGACAGGACTCTGCACTTGTCTGGGCTGAATGCCACAAGGTTTCTGCAGCTCATTCTCCCAGTCTGTCTCCATCCCTCTGAAAAGGAGCTCTCCCCCTCTGAAAGGGAGCTCTGTCCTCAAGCATATAAAAACCTTAATAATTGCTGATCTTCACTCTACCCTTTGAAATAATTCAAAGGAGGATAAATCTAAAAACAGAGAAAATAACTCAGCAGCATATAGGACCTTCTGCCATTCTCCCAGATAGCTTAGAATGAGCCATTTCCTGCTGCTTCCTTTTGCATCTATTCGGTTTTTTCTACCAGTCCGTCAACTGAACTGTAGCTGCATTATTATTAATCTTTCTCTCCTCTTTAGTATTTCCAATTCCTGCTCTACAAAGCAGGACACACAAAAGGGAAGTATTACAACTTTCTGTCAAAACATGGATATATTCAACAAGGTAAACACGACCTCCTTCAGCAAAAAGCACCTGGGTCAAAGGTGCTCACAACAGGTTATTGCCCCTGCTCTGGTTCACTGCATCCTCAAGTCATGGCAGGTCCTTCTGTGAGGACCACGCCACGCTGCAGTGCAGATGTCAAAGCATCTCTGCCTTCAGTATCTCAGAAAGATATGATGGACACTACACAGTAGCACTGCACTAAAAAGGAAGCAGCCAGCCAAGTGTAATTTGATGACATACCTCTGCTACATCTGCCAGAGACCGTGACACAAAAGAATCCCTTGAGTTTCCATCCAGAAGGCTGGGTCCCAGTAAGGAGGTGCCACTGGTGGTCCCAACCGGAGTTGGCAACATTTTTCGTCCCTTCTCGGGGGAGATGAAACTTGCTACAAAGAACAGGCACATCAGGGAGTCACTGCACTCAACATTTGCAATTGGGAGGATAAAGAGAAGGACAAGGAAACAGTAGAAGGACAGACATCTATTTCTTCTCTCCCTTAGAAATTATGCATCATCAGCACCAACACCCTCAGCGCCCTGCTAAGAGTACAGAGACTCATTGCACCAGCCCCATTCAACAGTAATTAAAACAACCAGTAACCAAACCCCAAATAAATCCAGTGATCTCATGTCTTTGAGATTATGCTCACCAAGCACAGAACAAAGCCAATTTTTCCAACAGCACAGCCAAGGACATCTTCTCATTCTGGCAGAACAGCCAAAATGTCTCAACCTAACTGATGAGTCAGGCTCCAAACAGACTACAAAGAACTGCCAGGGAATTATTTGTCCCCAGGTACCGGCCCCAGTCTAGCAACAGTCTTGTAAAGAGAAAGGAAAGGTATTTAAGGAAACACTGTTGTGATGAAAGCAAGAAGGGAAGAACTCTACAAACATCCTACTGGGTTCATGATTTTCTAAAGGACTCACTTCTAATAAAAAGCAGGAGGGTTTTTTTTTGTTTTGTTGGGTTTTGGGTTTTTTGGGGGGGTTGTGTTGTTTTTTTTAAAGGAAAGAGCTTTTTCGTTGCAGTTCTCTGCATCTGGGCACTTACAAAACAAGCTGCTGAGAGAGGAGTCTGTGGAGTCGTTGGGGTACCACTGAGGATCATGGCTGGGAGAGGCAATCCAGTTCTGCTGAGGACTACTGGATGGTGATGGAAGACTTTTGGAGCTATCACTGCCATTCAGCTTTGCAGGAGAGAGAGAAACACCTTCACCTGTAAGCCAATGTCAGGAATCACCGACTCAGTCAATGCAGTAAAGTTACAGGACACTGCACCAATTGATGGTTAGAAAGGAAAAAAAAAACCTACAACTGAAAAACCCACCTATATATGCTAGAAAATAAAGGCTAGGCACATAAAATTATTTCCAACAGATAATAATAATATTAATTAAAAAAAAACAAAACACCACACACAAAAAAAACAAGCAACTGAGAACTGCTTCCTGGAAAAGTTTCTCCTGACATGTGACAGATTTTTTTAAGTTAACAGGAAGACTTTAGTTAAGCTCAGACTTACTGTAGTGACCAGAGCTGATAGCTATTTCAATTATAGAGTCACTGATTTGAGTGGCAGGTTCTCCTTGAGAAAGCACATCTTCAGGAGGTCCAGGCAGAGAAATATCCAAGAGAGCAGAAACATTGGGAGGAGAGAGCCGAGTGCTGGAAGCCTCTGATGAGGGAAGTGGAGGGGTGGAAAGACCATTCTGGAGGGGAGTCTTGGGCAGTTCTGACAGAGAAAGGACTGATGAGCCCTGTTAAAAGAAACAGTGAATTGTTCATTAATTATTGAAAGACTTGGAAATCTTTCTGAAAAGCAACAGCTTAGCTCCTAAGCATCAGATTAAAATCAAACTTTAAGGGAAAAAAAAAACCAACAACAAAAGGAGGACTAATAATCCAGCAGATAATCTTGCTAAAATTTTAGGAATATACTATTATTTACATAATAAGCTTGAGTTATTTTAATTAAAAATATCTGTAAATTTCAATATATTTCAGCTGACATCCTGCCAGATAATGTGAAAAAATACGGGTCTGTAACATTCCAAAGGATATTTAATGCAGCCTTCATCACAGGAACAAGAATAATAATAAACGTACCACGATTTTGATGAACCTACAAGACAGTTCTTAATAATGAAGTACTAATTTGCCTTTGTATAGGCAAAAAAAAACCCCTATAACTGCTTTAAAAGTTTAGAACTATTTTAAACTGCTAACTCACTCCACTTCACAGCCAGACTTCCTAAAACTCAACTGACCTTTTTTAAGGAGTCTCATTATTTGTACTTCATCATGTACAATCATCATTACCTGTTGGTAATTTTTTTCTACTGTATTTTTTTCTAAAGCTCTCCTGAGAGCAAGAACCAGAGCCTAAGGCCCCACTATCACCAAGGTAATGCTTAGATTTATGTCCTAATGGCTATGAAACAAAAAAAATAAAATAAAATCTGCCTCTCCTTTATGCACTCCAGTCAAATTAACTAGATGTTCTTTCCATGTACCTGCCACAGAAAGGGTGAAAAGTACTTCCACTGAAAAAAAAAAGAAGAAAAAAGAAAAAAGTCTGTATTCTGAGGCTTCAGTAATAAACAGAAGGCCCTGGATCTCAGTGGAGAAGAAAGCGGGGGATGGCATGACACCACTTACAACTTTGGTGCTGCCACAGCTGCTTCTAAAGTGTTCGTCTTACTGGATCCAGTATAAACACAAGATATTCTCTGAAGAGAATGTCAGAATTAAAGTTTTAGTCACAACATTCCTCCATTAGCAGCACACAAGCAGCAGGGCTGACAGCTGCTGAAATCTCCCTTTGTGATGTCTAAAGTACACATGCAGGATGTAGCAGAGCAATTACAAACTTCTTCAGTGTGTCAAGAAATATGTAAACCTGTTTGTCCTTCAGAGGTCAGAGTCTGTCAGCTTCACTTTGCTTTTCCAAAGAGGCAGCAATACATATTTAAGCACCTTTCCTAAATTTTGTTCTTTACATTTCTTTGGATGCTTGAGATTTCAATTCCCACTAAACAGTACCAGTGGTACACAATTACCAGGGAACAAGGGGGTTTAACAAGTAACACCAGCAGCGTTTTCAGAACATTACTCATTTCACACAACTGTTCTTTCAACACAGACTCTACCTGGAAACCATCAGGAACTGCCTCCTGCTCTTGCTGTGCTGGCAGGCTGATGAAGGGAACCCGACACCCAGGGTCCGAGCCCTAAAAGCACAGCAGAAATCATCTGAGTGACAAAGTTCTACACGAGATGCTGAAAATACAGCTGGGGAGGTTAAGAGACAAGTGTACACTGCCCTTTGTACACGCTTCTTCTACATATCATGCCTTTCCAAATCATCAACTGCCTGAGAAAATGACATGGACTGACATGTATCTGGGTCTCAATGAAAGAAACAGCAAGGAGAAATCCGTTTTCATTCCATATGCATCTCCAGAAGTCCATGTTTTGTTCCAAATTCTCTCCTGAATTCCTGTCTATTGAAATGCTACTATTTCTTCTCAAGCCCAGATTTCTGGAAGGCCAACTTCAGCTCCCAGCTGAAAGGTGTTCTATAGGATGGAAATCTGTTCAAGGTGACGATTTGATCCCTCAACCCTGCAATACACACTGGACAACACAGACTGGGTTTGCCATGACAAAAGTGTCTAATAGCAAGCTCCAGGAGCAAGGTTATTGAATGATACAGCTTTTTTACAAAACAATAGAGCAAGAAACTTAACTACTTTTAAAAGCATGCTCAAGAGACCAACCTCTACAGTGGTAATGGAGCCTCTGTTCTGCTGCGCTGCTGCTGACTCCTGCCCTGGTACCACCGTGGTCACTCCATCTGGTGACAATGGTGACACTCCTGACAAACCATCTGCATCCAGGACAGGCACAGGGCTACCAGGGATGATACCAGCACTTTTAGCTGCCAAGTCAATAGCACCTTTTGTGAAACAAAAAACCAAAAAACACATCACAAGCTTTGCCTTCAGGCAATTTGTCATGACTCATCTAAAAGATGATTTTTAAAAAACTGCCCAAACTTACCAAATGCAAAAAATAGAAATTGTCATTATCTGATCAGCTACATCAGTTGTTAAGTCTTCACAAAGAGTAACATTTCTTTCTGCTAAAATGTTTAATTTTTCTGCCCTGTTCCAACAAAACAGATGTATCTGGTACAGGTATCAGGTACATCAAAACAGTTCGGAGTTTGAAGTTTACAGAAATGTCCCAGTTGTTTTCCCCTGCTCTTTCCTTCTATTTTTTTTTTCTTTTATTGTCCTGCAAATTGTTAAGTATTTGATATGAATTTTCTACAGTTTACTAGAGGAGCTCTAAAAACAACATAGCTTTACTTTTTTATCTTGCCTCCAGCAATCTCTTTTAAAATCCAATTAAAATACCCAAATGTTCCCCAAGCACAGAAAATCCTCTGCGTAAACCAGAAGCAATCATTAATCTCATCTCACTAATTACTGTAACTATGCAACCCATTCTCTTCTTGCAAGACAGCATTTCCTTGGGCTACACCATCAGGTTTTTTTCTTGTGGAATTTACATAAATTGTCCATAAGTTTCTTTCAAATATGTCACAACCTCTTTTCAAAGTGGTCTTAACACTAAGCATCACAGAAGTGCTCAAATTCAGTACAAATTCTAAGCCCTTGCTCTGCCTGCAGGTCAGACACAGCAAAGGAACCTTGTTCAGCCTGTCCCATGACTGACTGCCACACAGAGTGAAGTCCATTAACACAGCTGGTTTAACTTCCAAAGGCACTAATGATTTTACCTAGGAAATAGAAACCAACAGTACAACATCACAGAGATCACAGCAAACTATGACTCTCATTCTGTTGAAGAAATTACTTACTAGACAGATGGTTGGTAGCCTGTGTTGGAAGAACTTTGGGCACAATTGGACGAGAAACAGCAGCTTTAGTCAGTGAGGACTGAATTGGCCGAAATGAACCTCTCCCTAAAGTGAAGGATTAAATATTTCTTAAACAAATGAAATCTAAATCTTTACAGAAGAGCAAAACACAGTTCAATGGAAACAAATTCCAAGCAGTAGCAAGCTCTGGGAATGCAAGCAGTGGCAACAATGAACAAAACAGGGTTGAAATAGTACTTCAAGCTAACCAGTACCTTACCATAAAAATGCAACAGCAAGTGCTGCTGGTTGTTGAAGCTGCTTTTGTTGTTTTCAATGAAAAAAACCTTTAAGGTTGATTCTCAGATTTAAGCTGAGATGGGGTATCACCTGTAGGACCATTGTACTCAAAGGCTGCACCAGCAGAAAGGACAAATGGGCAGTGTATCAATTATGCCATAGGATATTTAAACAGTATCCCAGGCACTAGGAAATGCCACTGTAATACCTAGAGAAATTATTACACCCTAAAGAAAAAAAATGATAATTTATTTCCAAATTTTGTCTCCTTCTAGAGAACTCCATATTCTTCTCTGCTTTCAATACTGGGAAATGGGAGAAAAAAATTATACCATAATCACAACTAGCCTAACAATGATCCAGAACAATCCCATCATCCTGCAGGAAGCGACTCAAGCAACAGTTAAAGAACTTGGTGATTTTGAAGGGATATTTTTGCCTTTTCAGAAATCATTCCTTTATGCAGTTTTAAGGGACACTTTCCAGTCTAACTCATGACACCATAAAAGTGAGAGAAGATCTGCAGACTCACCTGTAATGGATGAGTTCGATAAGATAGAGAAGGAACAGACATGCTGGGACGGATTTCCGGATGGCCTGGGGAGCAGTGTTCTCTAAGTAAGAGAAACACAATAAACCACAACATACTTAAACACAGAACAGAGGGTAAAGCTCATCTTCTAAGGAACAGGGGCTCTCGATGCCTTCCAGAACAAGCAGAGTATTTACATGGTGTGACACAGCAGTAGGGCCCATGTAATCTTGAAAGCAGCTGCAGACAGGAATTATATGCTTTCTCTGTAAACTTCAAGGGAAAATTTCCACATGGACAACTGGCAAAGAAATGCTATAGGACTATAAACCTTTCAAATTATTCTTGCAGTAATTTTCAAATTTCCCACAAATAGGGATAGGATAGGAGTGATCTTATGGATGGGATCTAGTCTGTGTGCAAACTGACCTTCCATTACAAGCATGAATTAATGAGGCAGCTGCATGTACCTGGGAGCTCTTCAAACACATGGAACCACAGAGACCAGAATATGTCAATACCAAAAAGAGTATGTGTGTAACATCTAGGTCTCCTAGTCTTCTACACAAAAGAGACAAAAGGGTAACTTTGTTTCTACAAAATAAGTTTCCATTATTTTCATTTTAGATTTCTCCTATGTTCTCCACTTGTCAGAGGTCCCTAAGACAAATCCCTGGCTTCACAGATCCATGTGCCTTTTTGCTGGGTTATAAGAAGAGTCTTAGGGAGGTTAAACTTGCCTACCAGCAAAGTTCCATGACAATGGGCTACCTCTTCCATACATCTCTTTGCAAGTCCCTTTTTCTTCCAGAATCTGTTGTTCTTTCAGATACTGTTCTGGTTTATTTCACTACAGGGGTTTATATCCACTCCAGTTGAACAGCCACTAGCGAGTTGGAGGCAGCAAAAATATCTAAAGGGAGATGTTGTTGCAGTAGAGCTGACAGGGCTGACACTAACAGCCCAGGACACCATGTGAACCTGCTGTGTGTGCATGAGCACCAGCAGACACAGCAGAATCTCCTTCCAGATGAGAAAGGAGCTTTTTTGTTTTTTCCAAACTACTTCATGCACTATGACTGTAGTTGACAATCCTCATACAGGAAATGGATTGACAAGAGCTCTGAGAAGGACTTGGGGTGCTGGGGGACATAAAGCTCAACATGGGCCAGCAATGCACACTTGCAGCCCAGAGACCAACCCTGTCCTGGGCTGCATCAAAAGCAACCTGGCCAACAGATCAAGGGAGGGGATTCCTCCCCTCTTCTCTGCTCTCATGAGACCCACCAGAACTGTGTCCAATTCTGGAGCCCTCAACATAAGCAGGACATGGAGCTCCTGGAGTGAGTCCAGAGGAGAGCCACAAAAATGATCAGAGGGGTGGAGCAGCTCTGCTGTGAAGACAGGCTGAGAGCTGGGGGTGTTCAGCCTGGAGAAGAGAAGGCTCCAGGGAGACCTCAGAGCACCTTCCAGTGCCTGAAGGGGCTCCAGGAAAGCTGGGGAGGGACTTTGGACAAGGGCAGGAAGTGACAGGATAAGGGGAAATGGATTAAAACTGAAAGGGGAGATTGAGGTGAGACATTAGGAAGTAATTCTTTGCTGTGAGGGTGGTGAGACCCTGGTCCAGGTTACCCAGAGAAACTGTGGCTGCCCCATCTCTGGAGGTGTTCAAGGGCAGGTTGGATGGGGCTTGGAGCAACCTGGTCTAGTGGGACGTGTCCCCACCTATGTAGGGGGGGTGGATCTAGATGATCTTTAAGGTCCCTTCCAATTCAAACCATTCTATGATTCTATGAAATAAAACATGGCTGGTTACAATACAGACTAAAATCCTGGTTTCCTTCCTATGTTCAGCATTACTTTTCCAACAGATGAATGAGGGAAGTTCAGTGTTTTATTTCATGTAGGTACCACTCACTATATCCTCACTGATCTCTGTTCAGGAAGCAAGAGAAGCATTTCACACTTGGCAAAGTGTTCTGACCTGTACCACTAAGGGCTTCCGCAAGTGTCTGTTCCGTAACTTCCTTGGCTTTGGTAAGAAGAAGTCTGACTGCATCTGGACAAGAACAGGAAATACATTAGAAATACAACCCCCAAAATATATATATATATTTTTTTTAATAAAGTTGTAACTATTAAAATACTGTGGGTAGAATATTCTTTCTGCTACAATAGGGAAAATTTTCCACCAGGAATATATTTTTTACTTGTTTTATGGAGATAAAAGTTTTCTCCCAAAAAAGCCATTTCACTACTTTAACTTTAGTGTACTTTGCTATTAAGTGGCTACTGAGATTTTAGATCTAAAAATAAAATAAATATTTGCATTCAATACAGCAATGAAGTTCTATTAAAATCAGCTGCATTGTAATAAGGGTATCAGTCTTGCTAAACCTGACAACTATATTTGCTGGAGCAGCTTAGAGAGTGAAGCAGTCTCATCAGGCTGTGTGATAACATCCAGATTCAGGTCTGAAGAGGTGATGTCACTTCAAAGCACAGTTCTAGAGTAAAAACCTGACTAATCACAGCTAATACAACGTTATGCTTGTGCAACACCAGAAAGCACTGCTTCACAGGGCAGCCACATCCTCTGATGGACCAAAAAAGCTGTATTGGAAGCCTACTGGAAGCTGACTCGGGCACAAGATGCTACTTCTTTCATTCAGTCATCCCACTTACACTGATTGTATCCAAGTGCTGCCGGAAGGTCAGCTCTGCCTCCTTGCTGGGCAGGAACAGCTTTCCATGGCGGCTGTTGGGTGGCAGAGTTGTAGGAACTGCAAAAAGTTCACCATCCGCATCAGTGTTTCCAGAACTTGAAGGACCAGCCACCAAGAGAGGTCTAGGGAGGTTTCTCAAACCTAGATGATTTTAACCACAATTTAAATGAACAAAGTGAAAACAAAAAGAAAGTTCACTATTCATTAATTGAAGGATCATACGAAGAGCTGAGACTTCTGATTCTGGCTCTGCCACCACCTGTTTGTGATATCAAAAAACAAAACTCTTCACAGTTCCATTTACTCACCTGCAAAATGATAGTATTTATCTGCCTTACAAGGACACTGCAAACATTCACTTGTTCTGAAATCCTTGGAAGGGGGATTTTACACTAGGAAAAAACTAGAATACAAGCAACTAGTTTTAAGCCTCACACAGACTGTTTAACCAGTTTATCCATTCACTGGGAGGCCTTTCCCACTAAACAAACTGTATGTCCACCATTCCTTTTGTAGGAGAAGCTACTACAAGCACAGACTCATTCGACAATGTTCTTGTTTTATTTACACTCCCCACCCCTTCTCTGTGGTTCAACTCCAATGAAGTGATTCTGGTAACAGAGAAATGACCAAACAGGGATGAATTTACCAAAGTACCTTTAAAAAGATGGGTTATCTTAGAAATACATTAGGCATATTGAAATAATGGTATCTGGTCTGAGTAAAACTCCTCCATTTGTACTGAACTTTAGAAAATGTTGTAGGATTTCGTAGTGCTGTGCCCACTCCACAGGAATCCAGCTGGAATGAAAACCAGTTTTGTGAGTGTATCACTCTGAGATACCAGAGAAATGTTCTTGCCTCTCCTCCACAGACATGCTCAGTGCATGGAACACTGGGGTTTGTTGCAAAAGGCGGTAACTGCTCATCTCACACTCATACTGCACCCCCGCTTCTCATGGTGCTCCAGCCTCTGCTTCTGGGCTGGAGGTCTCAGCTGGGAAGCAGCAAAGCGGCAGTGATCCTTAGTTTGCCTGCTGCCACCCTGGGCAATGATTGGGCCACCTTTGGGCAGAGATGGGTGTACACAGCAGTTTTCAACCGGTGTTTTGAAGAACATAAAACTTTATTTACCTAACAAACCTGCAAGATGGAATTGCCATCTCCACCCTGCTGCTCTAGATGCTGTTGTTTTTCCAAAGGTAAGTTAAAATTCCAGTGTGCCAGTGTATCTAAAATCTATTAAATGAAGAACAACATACAGATTTTGTGTCTCCTGCTTAAGCAGGAGTTAGAGAGAATTGTTAAAGGTAACACACATAGTATTATCTTTTAAAAAAGCAATAAAAGGATCCAAGTATAATTGCGTAATGATATTTTAAGCACTACAGGTGACGTTGCATCACAGCTGCTGCTTCACTTGTTCTACATCTCTTTGCAGTATTCTTTTTATTATCTTTTTATTTCTCCAGCTACCTGTGTGGCTTTTGTGGAGCTGCCAGTTAGCCAACACTCTCAGTTCTTCTGGAGTGGAAACAGGTTATCCTCTCATCTTCACTTTCTGAGAAAGCCAGATATTTTTTTTTTTAATTAAAAAACCCCTAACAGCCAAAACCAAAAACCCGTTAACACCTAAACAGACTGAGGACCAAAGTCTATAAGGGAACACACCTAGAGGGGCTCAGCACCAAGAGTACCCAGTAGTTTGCTTGCTGATAGTCAGACTGTGCAGCACTGTATGTGAGGATACAAAGCAGTTTGAGAATTAGTGTATACAAAGGTCACAATCCAGACCACACACGATCCTATTTTAGATTAAGAACACTCTTATCAGGGCTCATAAAAGGGACTGAGTGAGTCTACCAGAAGAACACAGCTTAGGGTGAAGGTATCACACTTGCTTGGATACCCATCTGCCATGCTGGAACACCATGACCTGAGGCCTAAATGAGTGCTTCACCCAAGGCAGAACTGCTGAGCACTTAACTCATGAACAAGGCAGAATGTGGTACTGAACACACTTTTACTGCTCCTCTGTTCAAGCCAAACAGCTCAGCTGAAGGCAACCTGGCCATCTTTGGTACTGTACAGAAGCAGGAATCACACACACTGTGTTCTTCACTTCCTGGTTTTGCTTCGTTAGGCTAGACCACCAACCCTACCTGTAGTTCAGTGATGCAAATCAAAGACCAACATGGACAACTCGTTTTACAATCAATGAAGCTCAGTATAAACTGAACAGGTGCCTGTTTCTAGGGGATCAAATACAAAATACTGTTATCTTCCTG